AAGTTGTCCATGAGTAGTTCTTTTTGGATGATGTGATTTAAAATGATGATTAGAGATGGCGCAGCAAGTATGTGATGCTTATTTGTTACCCATTGCAACACGTTGCAACTCCAAAATTTTATAAGCTGCAACTAGTTGCAACTAAATGATGCTTTATTTGTCATCACATTGCAACAGTTACCATGCCATTTTTAATAGTGATATTCTTTAATTGAAATAATTTGTGTCATTTTGAAAATTTTTGTTGTGATTCTCATTCCAGTTATGATAACATAAGGTTTAATCAATCCCAAAGCTTAGTTTATTAACTTCTCAGTCAGATAAAATTAATTTTGAATTACGATTATTGGTTCCAATTTATTATCTTCAATATATCATTTCAAGTGATCTCCATTATATGGATTTTTAAGAAGTTTTCTATCTATTGTTCTTAATCAGTAAGCATCTTTATCAAATTTTTCATGAATATAAAATGGATTTTTCCATTTTGGTGAAAATTTTTTGTGATATCAATGTTGTATCTTCATTTTCTTCATTAAAACTTTATTTCTGATAAAGAAATCTTGTGCATGTTTATCTTGTTGATAAGATTCTTTTTGTTTTTGTTGAGATTTTTGAATATTTTGTTGAGCTAATGTTCAGTCAATTTCTAATTTATCTACTATTATGCAAGCTCTTTTTATAATTTCGTTTACTGTAGTTTCTTGATTTTCTATTGGTTATAATTTGAAATCTAATAATATCAAGACTTGTCATCCATAAGTAAGATAAAATGATGTAAATTTTGTTGCACTTTGTTGCATTATTCGATATGCAAAAAGTACTGAAGGTAAATAAAAATCCCATTCATTTTCATGTATTTGAACAAACTTTGCTATAGATTCATACAAAGTTCTATTTAATCTTTCAACTAATCCATTTGTTTGTGGGTGATATGGTGCTGAGAGATGGTGTTTAATTTGATAATGTTCTAATTAATTCATTGGTGAAAGTAGTACCTCGATCAGATATTAATTTTTTTGAAAACTGTGTTAACAAATAATATCTTCTTATAAAAATGATATGATTGTTGTTACAGCAGCATCTTTTATTGCTCTGGCTTCAGTCCATTTAGTACCATAATCAATAGCTACTACGATATATCTATTTTGATTGCTGGTAATTGTTAATAATCCAATTAAATCTATTTCGATCTTTTCAAAAGATGGTCGAGTTTCAATTGAATGTAGTGAATTATTTTTCTTCATTTTGCCTTTTTATTGATATACATTACAAGCTTTTATATAATTTTTGATATCTTGGTGCATTTTTGGCCAGTAATATTTATAAGAAATTCTATAGTATGTCACTTTGATTCCAAAATATCTGGAATGAGTTATTGAATATTCGTTGAATAATATTTCTTCCACTTCTATAGGTTGAATTACTTTAAGTGGTGTATCTTTATCTTATTTATTTCGTCAAAATAATATATTATTATCTATAAGGTAATGCATAGCTTTATTTTTTAATTTGTGTTATTCTTTTAAATTCAAGTTTTCTGTAATTGTAGAGTTTTCAAATAGTTGACGAGTTGATAATATTCGATTAAGTCCATTGTTTTAGTTAGGTTTGTTCAAATTTAGTTATTTAGTTGATTGTAAGAGTAATTGTTATTGATTGATTTTTTTTTAAATGAAGTTGTTTTTCAAGTCAGTTCTGGTGGGAAGTGTTGTGAAAGTGGATCAATATTTGAATATAAGCAACCTTTATGATGTTCAATATTATAGTTGTAATCTTATAAAGTCATTACCCATCTGGCGAGTCTTCCAGATAATTGTGATTTGTTGAATAAATCTTTTAATGCGCTATGATCAGTAATTATCGTAAATGGAACATTGGATTAAAGATATAGTCTAAATTGTTGAACAGCTCATACAACGGCTAAGCATTCTAATTCAGTTACATAATAATTTCTTTCATTTTGATCAGTTCTTTTACTAACGTTGTCACGATCAGGCTCCTGATAGGTATAATCATGACGTAGGTGTTTAATTAATGTCTGATGACAGTATTTTTACAGTTACTCAATCTTGTTGTAATTAGTATACTTCAGGATCACCATGCAGTGTGTTTTCTTCTATCTTATAGATAGACTCTCACTATTACTAATAGATATTATGTCTACTTAGTGTGGGACAGTCCTATAGCAATACAGTACTGATATTCTATAGCAACTTTGGTAGTTGTCCAATAGTGCGTAATAAATGCAAGTATTTTAATAAGTTATTATTTTTAATCAATTAAGTGTACATACAAATTTCATTAACAATAAACAAGGACAGTTTATTGACTAATTAGATTTTTGTATTGATCAATTGATGCCTTTTGGTTTATCCAAAAGGTTCTTTATTTATATAAAATAATTTATGATTAAGTTATTACAATGTGGGATATGTTATACATATCGGATAAATATGATATAGTGAATAATATTGATATGTTTGAGAACTCTGCTATCTCTGCTATCTCTACAATCTATGTTGAGTCACATGATCAGAATTAAAAAATTAAAAAATTAAGAATAATTTCGGACTGTAACATTTTCCCCTTCTTTTTAGAATTGAGTATCATCTCAATTATAATCAGTTTTGAACTAATTGTTTAAGCTGGTTTAATTGTGTGTCTTTTAATTTGGATAATTCCTGATAGAAAGTTGCTCTAACTAATAGCAATCTTTTTGGGGTGTTAGAGAAGATTTTAGCAAGCCAGTTCACCAATTGCAACCATTTTCTTACTGAAGTAGATAGTAGCCTTTCTTTTCTTCCTTTTACTAGTTGTAGATAACTTGTGGAATTGTTGTCACTTAGTTTGGTTAATTTCTTTTTAGTGTATAGCAATAGATATAGTTTTTCTCCAGAACGTCCTCTAGACATGAAGCATTCACCTAATTGTTACCATGCTTCTTTAATTTTTCGTTTGGGCATAGTTTCTTTTTTTTTGTGTTAATTTTCGTGTTTCATTGTTTTCAAGAGCTTCGTAGTTGTTGGCTAGCTCTTATGACTTTAGGATCAATTGTTACTTCATCATTATTATTTTGTTCGTTTTCTTGCGTTGTCATTCTATTTAGTATCCCATTTTCTTCAAAGATATTGTCAGTTTGTTGTTCCATTATCAAATATTCTTCTAGCGATATTATGTTGAATTGTGGACCTGTGTTTCCGATGATTATTGTCAGGTCTGGGCAGTTTTCTTTGAGTTTATTGGTGATTTGGATGGCTAACTGCCACATTTCTGTTATTGCATCTTTTTCTTGTTCGGTGTTTGACATTTTGAAAGTTTTTGGTTTGTTATTAAGTCATGTTCATTTGTTCATCCATTTAATTTTTCGTTATTTATTTTAATTTTATTTGGTGACGTCAGATCTGAAAGTCATATGTCGAGTATTGATTGGTCAAATGTCTTGATTGTCGTTTATTAAACTTTTTGTTGATCGTTTCTTTCTTTTTTTTTATATATATATTATCATTTTTATTATTATATTTTACTATTTTTCTTTTGTTTGTATTGTGTTAAATTTTTCTTTGAGGCGGGGATGAGTACGAATGATGTGTTTTTGATGATTTCTTCCTCCTCTTGTTTTGATGATTCATCCTCGAATTGTTCTTTTTGTTCTTTATATGGTTTGAGTTGATTTTTGTGAATATATCGTGCATGAACTCCATTTTCGTCAGATAATTGATATGCTCCATTATTTAATTTTCGATGTATGGTATATGGTTCATCCCATTTTGGCTCTAATTTTCCTGTTCATTATTTGTCTAGCTTGCTACGATAGGCTAGTACACAATCTCTTTCATTATATTCTGTTCGGGGTAGGTTTTTATCGTGGTGTTGTTTTTGTTTTTCCTGGAATGTTTTGATATTTTCTTTTGCTTGGAGTCTTTTTTCATTAATAATATAGATCAATTCGTAAATTCGTTTGTTTAGGTCCATTTCAAAGTTTTCGTCATTCGTGTTTGATGGTGTTGATAGTTGTAATTCGATAGGTAAGGTGGCTTGTCTTCCGTACATTAAGTCGAATGGGGTGTAGTTGGTGGTGTCTTATTTGGCTGTTTGATATGTGAAAAGGGTGGCAGGGATATGTTCATCCCAATGCGTTTTTGTTTGAATGGCGAGTTTGGCTAATATTTCGGTAAGTGTTCTATTATATCTTTCTACCAATCTGTTCATTTAAGGATGGTAAGGTGACAATAGTGTTCGTTTAATATTTAAGCAGTCACAAAGTTGTTGTATCATGTCATTTACAAAGTGGGTCCCTTGATCAGAAAGAATTTCTTTCAGACATCCGTGACGAGCTATAATGTCTTTCTTAATGAACTTTTCTACGCTAATTGCGTTAGCTCTTCTCAATGCTCGCGCTTCTGGCCATTTGGTGAGGTAGTCCATTGCGACTACTATGTACTGGTTTCAGTTTGATGTAGTTGGTAATGGTCTTATTATGTCAATTCCTATTCGATCAAATGGGTGGCTGACTTTGATCAGGTTCAGCAGTTCAGTTTTCTTTGGTCATCCTCGTTGTTGACATATATGTACTTGACAGGTTTGTATATAGTTTTCGACATCTTTTTTGAAATTGGACCAATAGTAATATTCTTTTATTTTGTTGACAGTGATGTTTCTTCCAAGATGTCCAGAATATTCATCTTAATGGAGGGCGCTAAGGATAATATCCTTTTTATCTTTCGTGATGACTTGTTTAGGTTTTTCTTCATTATTTTTCCGATGGTAAAGTTGATTTTCGATAATAAGATAATTACTTTTGTTCTTTTGTATATATATTTGTAATTCGGGCAATAATTTCACTAATATTGTTCGATCGTTGATATATTTTATCCAGATGTTGTATAGATTTCGTTCCATAATTAATGTTATTGTTGGTCAGGTGTGGGGTTTGTTCAGTTGTCAGATTGTGTTCGATTAGGGGGGATCTGAGATAAGATGTCGACGTAAGAATATTTTCAACCAGGCTTGTAGATGATCTCAAAATCATATTCTTGAAGTATGATGATCCATTGCATTGTTCTTCCAGTTGGGTTGAATTTTGTTATTAACCATTTTAATCCAACGTGGTCGGTTATTAGGTCAAATCTTTGTTCCAACAAATATTGTCGGAAGTACTTGACTGCCCATATGATGGCTAAATATTCCATTTCGTGAACGGCATCATTTTGTTCAGCGGGTGATAATTCTCTGCTTGCGTATGCGATATGTCGTCCGTTTCTGTCTGGGTCGAGTTGTGAAAGAATAGCGCCTAGTCCAAGTTTTGATGCGTCAGTAGCGAGGATAAACTTGTTTTTGAAATTTGGGTACAGTAATACAGGCGCATCAATGAGTTTTTCTTTTAATTTTTGGAATGCTTCTTCATGTTTTTTTGTCCATTTATAGCGTTGGTCTTTCTTCAATAGCTTATGCATCAGTTCAGCAATGTTAAAAAATCCTTGGATGAAGCATCGGTAATAGAATGCAAGTCCCAAGAATCCTCGTAACTCAGTAATATTTATAGGTTGTGGGAAGTTTTTTACTTTCTCTATTTTGGTCATGTCTGGTCAGATTCCTTCTCGTGTGATAATATGTCCCAGGAACTCAAGCTGTTTCTTGCAGAAGTGGCATTTGTCGATGTTGAAACGTAATCCTACCTCTCGTAGTCTTTGAAAGATTTGCTCTAGATGATCTAAGTGATTTCTGAACGACGGTGAATGGATGTTGATGTCGTCAAGATAAATGACAAGGAAGATCCATGTCAAACCAGAGTAGACAGTATCCATGAGTCATTGAAAAGTTGCGGGCGCGTTCGTTAGACTAAAAGGCATTACGTTGAACTCGTAAATATCTTGCTGGATGGTAAAAGCTGTCTTTTCTCGACTATCGTGATCTATTTCTACCTGCCAATAGTCACTTGCTAAGTCTAATGTTGAGAACCATTTAGATTCTCCTAACGAGTCTAGTATCTCATCGATTCTAGGTAAAGGGTAAGCATCTTTTTTTTGTAACAGAGTTGAGTTTCTGATAGTTAACACAGAATCGTAATTTTCTGTTCTTCTTTTTAACCAGAACTACCGATGATGACCAAGGGCTAGTTGACGGGTGAATCACACCATTCTTCAACATTCGTTTTATCTCCTGGGCAATGAATTCAGTAGATTTTGGTGAAGTTCTGTAAGCTCGTTGCCTAATTGGCATAGTGTCTCCAGTGTCAATTTTGTGTCAGACTTTATCAGTTTTTCTTAATTCATTGTCATTCATTGCAAATAAGTCTGAGTATTTTAGTAACAGTTGGTGTAATTGTTTCTGTTGTTTTTCCGATACTTTTCCGATATTGACTTTCAATAGATCTTTAGTTGTTAATGTATAGGTTTTGACTCTTCAGTTGTTTTTCCTTGTTCTTCGTGGTTTCGGGTTGATTTTGAAGTATTGGATCATTTCTTTTGCACATTGGAAGGTCTGTAAGTGCTCGATTCCGTCTTCGATATATCCTAATATGGTTCCTTTTTCCAATAGGAGGGTTTGGTTCTTTCGATTGATCAAGGTAAGTTGAATTTTATGTCACTTTTTAGGTGCAATATACTGATGATTGCAACTAAGTCCGTATCTTTCAAATAGATCATGATTAGGTTCAAATAAAAGTGATTTAGCGCTGATAGTTTTTTCGTTTCGTCCTTCCCATACAATCATCTCATTAGGATATATTGCAATCATCTTTTCCAACAGGACGGGTATTCCTCAGATAATATCGTCACCATTTTCTTCAGGTATATTAACCAAATTGGTTATTTGTTTTGTTTTCCTGGTCGACCCTAATCCTTTTTGACCTCTTTTACTTTGATTTAGTTTGGTACATGTCTTTACAGGTGTCATTTCATTGATCGGTAGAATTGGTAAGTAAAGTGCTTGACCAATTCGTTCCTGAGACAATATTTTATAACTCTTTTTTGATCCATTCTTTAGGATAATTTGTAAATTTCCAATATATCTGGCGTCTATGATTCCTCCTTCGATGGTAATTCCTTTCTTTTTTCCAATAGGACGGGTATTCCTCGGATAATATCGTTACTATTTTCTTTAGGTATATTAATCAAATTGATTATTTGTTTTGTTTTCCCAGTCGACTCTAATCATTTTTGATCTCTTTTACTTTGATTTAGTTCAATACGTGTCTTTACAGGTGTCATTTCATTGATCGATAGAATTAGTAAGTAAAGTGCTTGACCAATTCATTCCTGAAACAATATTTTATAACTCTTTTTTGATCTATTCTTTAGGATAATTTGTAAATTTCCAATATATCTGGCGTCTACGATTCCTTCTTCGATGGTAATTCCTTTCTTTGCAAGTGATGACCTTGATGCTAATTGCATTATGCTATTTTTGGGAACTTCTACAGTGATTAATAAATCGATCACCATAGTTTCATTGGAAAATAGGGTAAATGATTCTTTGCCTGGGTAGTACAAGTCAAATCCAGTGTCTGTATTATATGTTTTCTTTGGTAGGATTCCTTCTTTTTCAATATAGCATTTAATTTTCTTTCTTGACTTTAATGGCTGGTATTTAATAATTTCAGGTGGAATTGGGTCATTTATTGGTTCGATAAAATATTGTTTAACTTCATTAAACCAATTGGTGGTTTTTTGCTTTCTTGGATTCTGTCTGTTAGTTTCGTGGAGGGAATCGAACCAATCAACTGGTAGCGGTATGGTATGGCATGGTGATTGATTTTTATAGGTAAGATCATCTGTTTCCATTTGATTATATCAATCTGTTAATTCATTCCAGTCTTCTTCAGGAATTGGTATTATCTCAGGGTAACAGTTATCACAATATTGATCTTGACATGGTATCAAGCATTCGTCACATAGCCTAATTTTCATTTTGACAAGTTTTTCCTTTTGTCATTTCTTGGTTGGTGCCAGTTGTTAATAGTTCTTATGAAAGATTTCTTGGTCATCGAGCCAGTCGTAGTCGGCGACTTCATCGATGAAGGTATAGTATTCTTCATCTTTCATTTGACGGATTTCTTCGGTTGGCGCCTTTTCTATGAATTTGATGGCTAATTGCCTAACTTTTTCATTTTCTTCAGGCTCTAGATTCATTTAATCGCAAGCCCTCCAAAAGGCGACTTGGAATGGTATTCCCTGGTTGCATCAATATCAAATCAAATAGGCATATTTACAATCGGAGTCACATACTCCTTCTACGTCAGGGATGTCTTCCCAATCGTATTTCATTAGCATTATTGTTTTACACAATAGGCAATTTGTTCCGTCTCATAATCCAGTTCCAGTAAATTGAATGATGTGTTCAAAATAATTGTCAGCACATCGTTTGCAAAAGTAGTCAGTTTTTTTTCCTCATTCTTCTTCTGGATCGATGGTAACGGTTATCCGGGATAATTTCTTTTTACATTCGTTGCATTCTAGTCGAGGCAGTATCCACTGGTTCTTTCTTGTTGGTTGAATTGATCTTCATTCTCATCGTTTCCGTCCGCTTTCGGTAATGGCAAAATTTTCATATTCGATTATGGATGCATAAGGATCATGTTCGTATTTTTGTTTCTTTTCGAAATTAATCAGAGTGCTCGCTTTCTTTCCTTTGTAGTTAATGGTCATCCAATTGGTGTGCCAATCGAGTCGAACATGGACTTTCTTCATCCAATCATTTCTGACTAGGGCTTGATATTACGGAGCATTAATTATCAGTACTTTGATCAATACGACGATTCCTTCTATTTTGAATGGGAAATTGTCGATTTCTCCTCTTGGAACAGTTCGTGTTCCATTTGCCGTGATGATTTTAGTGGTGGAAGGTCATTGGGTTTTTCGATTTAACTTTTCGAGGAGTTTGGTTGTGACGATACTTCCTGCGGAGCCAGAGTCGATTATTAATTTGATTGTTTTATTGCTTCGACCATCATTGCTGTCATTTTTTCTTTGGTCTTTGTTGTGGCAACGGATATCATTTCTTGCGTTCATTTTGAGATTGATTGTTTTTCGGGTTCTTTGGATTTTGACTTTGGTGATAGTGTGTTATTATTTTCTGACATTTGGATTATTGGGTCGCAAGTGGAACATCCTTTGTGATTTACTTGTAGTCAGTTGCGGCACCAATGGCAAGAACAGTCTCTCAGCAAGTATTCGTGATTTTTTTCCTTCTATTCGTAGTAGTTTTCTACTTTAATTATTTTTAGGATGTCGAGACAAGCATCGCAGCAATTATTTTGGTGGGGTGAATCTCCCCAGTAATTTGATGGACAAATATGAGATACGCGTCCTTCTTGTTCCATCGTTGTCTTTCTTGGATATTTTGATTTCAACCAATGATATATTTCTTTTGTTGTCCTAGGTCGTTTCAAGATTTCGATAATTATTACTGGCATATTTTCATCATTTGATTCATTTTCACTTTCTTCGGATCGAGTTTCGAGTTCTGATTCTGAGGCTAATTGCCTCTCAGCAAGGTAAGTTTGTTGTGGTCTCCTTTGTTGTGGTTTTCTTCCTCAGTTATTTCTTCTTTCATTTTTCCCAATGTTTCTTCGTTCATTCTGTCTTCCATAGTTGTTATTTCGGTATGTAGGAATGTATGCAGAACATGACTGCAGTGGTCTGTATGCTGGAGCTATAAGTGAATATCGAGGTTGATAAGTGATGAAATAATTATTCGAGTAAGTATTCATTGATCTTCGATATTGGTTTCTTCTTTGGTCTTCTTGTTTGATTTGACATTTCTTAGCAATATGTCCTTCCTAATTGCAATAGTAACAAGTTCTTCTTCCGGTAGTTGGAACGGTGGAAGCAGTTGTTTTTAGTAGTATGTGTTGAATTAACAAGGCTTGGACAATCTTTTCTAGGTCTGATACCCGTTTATTTTCTTTTATTTTCTTCATTCCTTTCTTCTCTTCCAGGATAGCATTAACACTTGTCGTGAATGTACTGTAGGCCAGTACAATCTCTGCGTCTCTTGCTTCTTGAAAGGCTTTTTCCAACGTTCTAATCTTTGGGTCATAGACTCATTTTCGTAGTTTGTGATTCAAACTTCGCACAAACATATTTATCTTTTGTTGTTCCGTGTAATACCTTCCAGTTGAATCGGCTTTTCTCAACAATCTTACAAATTCTCCATAGTATCGAGTGACGTTTTCAGTAGCGTCTTTTTTCATCATGGCTAGTTTGGTATGTAGTCTAGCCGTGGAGACTCTTCCTATGAAGAACTTAAGGAAGGTCTTTATAAATCTATCGATATCCTCGATTGTTCATTCTGAAAGCATCTCATATCATTCATTTGCGGTGTCTTTTAGGGCCAATGGGATTCTCATGACCAGTATTTGTTTATTCCATTCGTTGGTGGTAGCGATTTTTGAAACTTCCATGACCCAGTCCATCGGGTCGTCACTTTCATCATTTCTTTAAATACTGGTAGTTTGTATTCTTTTGATCATGATGATCCTACTTGTTGTTGCGGTTGTTCCTGAAGCTTTGCGAGCCTTTATAGTGGGATATAATCATTGTCATCATCATTGTCAGGATTATCGAGGTTGAATCCGTCG